ATAATTTCATTATAATTTATTTATATAATTTCATTAACATAATTTGATTTAATAACCCAATTTGAAGAAAAAACAGAATGTTCTGACTAGCTTGGTGAAATTATACTAAATGCCTGAAAGAAGCAAACAGCAGAAGTTCTGAATGAGATGCAGATTCACTCTCTGACAGCAGGAGGCGCTCATGGAACACCAGATGCGGCGTTTCCTTGGTTACCGCCGTAAACAAAGCAGTGCTACTGAAACGCTGCTTTAATATGAACTATGCAGAGACGAGATTAAAAGAATATACCACGTAAACTTTTCTGAAGACAGTCAGTTCCCCTCAAACACATTCATATAAACCCCCAAATCAATATTAAGGATTTTCTTCCAATAGTTCGTGCATCATGAACAGTGAGTGATCTGCCTGTTATTTTGAAAGCTGACGCTCGCGATTATGGTAAGGGGCGTTACATTTCCGACGCGTGCTTGCGGTGTTCGGCCAATCACAGTGCACTGGGTCAGCTGGCCAATCAGAGCGGACTGCGCTTGTCAAAGGAGGGGGCTTTGTAGAAAACGAAGCGTTTGAGAGAGGCGGGCCATAGAGGACCTAGAATAATGTACAGTATTTGAAAAATAATGTGTTTTTTGAACATTAAAGCATGTCAACATATTCTGTTACACCAAATACACAAAATAATGATCTTTAAAAAAGCATCATATGACCCCTTTAAGGATTTTCTTCCAATAGTCCGTGCATCATGAACAGTGAGTGATATGCCTGCTACAGTATTTTTCTGTTGGCGTCCGTCTTCAGCATCTCTGGCCTGTTAACGAGCGTTTACAGACTTCATATTTTCACATAAATTACATTTTGGAAAACGATTGCATTGCAACGCAGTTTGTGCAAGTCCAGAACAGAGACGAGTTGCAATAAGACAAAAAACGGCCGGTTGCCGATCGCGCAAGTTCCAGGGACAGCTCCTTAATTCATCCATCCTACACACACGTGACTGACCGCTCGCTCGCACCAACAGGAGGAGGGGTCGTGTTACTCTCTACAATGCACTCAACCTGAGGGATTCCTACACTTTCAGTCTTTGAGGAGACATGAAAAACAGCGCATACCGCAGGAACGGTATAACGGAAAATTTTGAAACCGTGAAATTTTCAAATCGCGGTATACCCTGAAACCGGTAATCGGCCCATGCCTAGTCCCAGCAGGGCTATAAAAATACTATTTAAAAAAAAAAGTGCTTTGCCACCATCTGACTGAACGGTTCTGAGCATGGGGAGTACGGTACCAGCAGCATTTCCAGCACAGTTCAATATGGTACATTTAGTGTATTTAACTCTTTACAGGAGAACTGTGGTGATGGAAATGCTTTATTGGTCATGTACACCATAATGGAAACTGGATTCCTGTAACCTTTAAGCTCAATGGTAGAAAAGCGCTTTTGGAAGCCAGAGTGTGCAAAGTGTTTCAAGAACAAGCTACCTGTCACTACAGTAATTTGTGAAATTTTTTTTGTATTTATTGCATTTTTTGCTTTGCAGAGTGACACAACCTCAGTTGATGAATATGGTCAGCCAAGTCAGGATGATTCTTCTTTTACAAAACCACCTTCTCAGACAGCAGCTTTGCCATTTAACAGGTCCTCAAATCCACAACCCATTCATCCTGGTACTTTGGGATTATTCAACCGGATCATCAATGAGTCTTCAGCAGCCTCACAAAAGACTGAAACACCCCCTTTTAACAAGCCAGTTATCCCACAGTCACTCATGCAGGCGTCCAGGTCAAGGTCTTTACATGACCTGAAAATTTCCAACGTGTCTAAAGGTAACAATTCTCAGGAAGACCAACACAGGGCATCATCTCGCCTGCCTCATGACCATCCCCCGAGCAGTAACCCTTCTACGAGTCAGACATCACCATCAGATCCTAAGCGCAATCTTACAACTCAAATGGAGCGCTTCCTTAGTGCTCTCAACAAGGCCGACACCAGTGTTGTTAACTCATTGTTTCAAGAGGCTAGAAAGGATCTGGCTCTAATGAACACCCAGAAACCCACTGAACCACAATTAGATAGAAACATACCCTTCATGGACGAAATATACGATCCTTTTAAAGAAGATGAAGACAATGACCAGCCTTCCCTAATGGGCAAACAACCTGGCAGAGAACGAGTAAACACTGAAACCCATTTGAGTAACCCCAGTAAAGATGACCTCTTGCCTGATGAAAGAACTGTTCAGGAAGGTAGTGGCTTTTCTCGGCTTGTTGGAATGAGGTATGGTGTAGACCCTACTGCAAAAGCTGAGAAGAAAAGTCCGTATGGGCATCCGATGGTTTCAGAAAATTGGAGTGCACATAAAGAAGGTCCAAATCAGTTCTCTGAGCAGTGGAATCCGTATGAAGAGGAAACTAATCTGTGTGCAACAGAACACAAACATTACACTGATGATGGCAGTCTGTATAGGGAGCGTAGTCGGTCTGTTGAGTACCAGAAAGTCAATCCAAATGTCCAGCACTCCTACGTAGAGGACAGAGAGATGCCTGATAGTAAGTTTGACAAAAGCTTAGCTTGTCAGGAGTCTGAAGAAAGCAGTGAGGATAAAGTCAGAAAGTCAGAGAACTTTGAAAAAATTCAGAGTCTTCTTCAAACAATAGGTCTTCATCTAGACACAGCAGAGGTTAGCAAATTAGCAGACAGGACACAAGAGCGATTGTATGGTAAGATGAGAAAACCTCATAGTGCGTCTTCTCACTCTTTTGAACAAAAAAGGGAGCAATCAGTGAGTCAAACTGAGCAAAGAGGTAGTAGTAGTAGGGCAGATTCCTCAGACTCTGAAAACTTCCGATCTGTTTCCCCAGCTCAGTCCTCAAGTCGTAAGGTTTACATGAGCTATAAGGACTCTGTAAAATACAAAGACCAGCACAAAGTGGAAGACGTAGACCTAACTAGGATTAAGAGAACTGTAGTGAATTTGAAACCAGCAACCGACGAACAAGATCCTTACAAACCTGAGCTGACCGCAGTTTCTCAAGCTTCGTACCCACCAGTGACCATTGTAACCACAGTTCAGCCTGACGGTTCCCAGTATGCCCAAAATTCCACTGTTTCCACCTTTTCAGCTTCACAATATTCGCAATATCAAAGTAGTGATCAACATGTTTGGGGTTCTGTGGTCCCTGGTCTGTACCCTTATGGCACTGTACCTTCATCTCCTTATGCTATTGGTCACCAAGCAATGGCGCCACATATGATGCCTGCTTATAGTTCGTACACTGCACAAATGGCCAATCCATATTGTGTACTTCCTCCACTCTCCATGCCACATCCCTATGGTCCTCTATCTATCCTCAACCCTCTCCACCTCTCCGCAATGGCTTCTGCTTACACTAACCACGCGGCTAGTCAAATCCCAACTGAATCTATAAATACAACGCCTGTTAGGTGCCTAAAAAAAATAAAAACCGTTCCAACAGTTAAAGCAGGGCCTGCTACCATAACAGAAGATGACATCAAGGCTAGGCAGAAGAAACGGGTATGACATCTTTCTTCAAACTTCTCACATGTGGAATTCTTTGTTGAGTGATTCTTAATATCCATGTTATACTTAATTTTATACTCGAGTCATATTTTGTAATTCTGTGATGTGGCAAATATCAGAAGCTATCCAAGGACAATTGCTATGAGCTTATTGTCTTCAGCTTATGAGTGCATCTGTAACATTCTGAACCTGTGATAAATCTACTGATTGTTTTAGCACCATTTTGTTTGTACTTATATAATTGTGCTCTGGGCAGCTTGAACAGTTTAACCAGAGAATGAAGCTGAAGAAAGAGCAGCAAATGGAAGCCCAGCGTTCACGTGGACAAAATCGGAATTCAGCTCCAGGTATTATTATTTCCAGAGTCTTTAGGTTCAGGCATTTATTGACTTCAGGTGCAATTACCTGTTTAGTTTGCTTATTCTTTTGCCTTGCAAACAGGATTATTACCAACATTTTACAACCTTTGTTTCCAAAAAAAAAAGTGATTCAGGTAGTTCACAGATCATAACAGGGACAATATCAGATCATGATTTAGCTTTTAAAGAAATCTATTCCTTTGTCATGAGATGAGGAAACAGCATTTTTGGTATGAAGATTAATGGGTTATTTTTGAATAGCAGACCTTGAAAGTACAATCTAGATTAATTTGTGAAGACAGTGGTATTAGTTTTTAATTAGTGATTTTGTTCTAAAATATTACATTTATTTAGAGAGCAAGCTGGAAACTTACACCATGTCTACACAGGATGTATGTAACATTTGGGGCACATTAAAAATAGGTTTGTTGCAATATGTTCAGTGGTGCTGTGTACACAACTAATGTGTCCATTACAGAATGTAGGGATGCACTTTCCATTGACAGTTGTCCCATTTCTCTTCTTTTGACGTATTGTAGATGTGTTCCTGGCACTATTTTTTCACTTTTTTAAAGATTTTTTTTTATTACAATGTCTATATGTTCAGACAAAAATCTTATTTTATTTTAACTAAGTTTCAGTCACACTTTTTGTTTTTAATTTTCACCTTGCGAAAACCAGTAATTTCATTTGGAATTCAAATGCGAAAGATTCATCGCATTGACCAACAGAAAGCTGCTTGGTTTTAAAGTGACTTCTGCGCGAGCGGTGTTTCATACATCTACACTGTTGATAATAGACAACTGACTTTTTTTTTCCCTGCAAAATTTTACGCTCGCTAAAAAATCTCGCTAATGTGAGCACGCCTTTACTTAAAGTAGTGCCCCTATTATGCCATTTTTACGGTTACTGATACTGTTTTGGGAGTCTCCTACAATAGGATTACATGCATGCAAGGTCAAAAAAAGCTTTTGTTTTCTCAAAATATGCATTTAATATCACCTCATTTTCCAGCGATTCTCAAAGGATTCGTTCG